TGATGATGTTACCTAGTTGGGTCATGAAACGTCTGCAAGCAAACCACCAAGCTCAGAGAGCCCCAAGAACTCCACAGATCAACCCTGAGCTACAGATATTCTCTTCTACTGGTGATATAAAGCAGTTTGAGATGTTTTCTGGGATCCATTTTTTAAAAAAATATATTAATTTTTAATAAGTATAATAAAAATAATGCATCAGTGATTGTACAATTAAAAAACTATATTCAGTACAGTGATTAAAGCAAACTGAACATAAAGGGAGAACAAAGAAACTAGGAAAAAAGATAAGATGCATATAATATCAATATAAGTTTAATTCAATCCTTAAACTTATAATTAAATTTAGACCAGAGAAACATATAGCTCCATCTCATTTTCAGAGTATAAGGACATTTGAAAAATAACAAATTATTTTGAATCGGTTCCTTAACATCAGGAGAATAAATTTATTTCCAACTATTCAAAATATATAAAATAATTCCCTTTGCCGAGCCCCAATCTCAATAAGCCAAAGTTCTTGATAAAATATCAACTTCGATATTTGAGAAGCATAATTCAACATCACCTGTACATCTTTAACTATTATATTTCCCCCCCCTCCAAAACTGTAGTATAGATGTTGTAACTTGACACCAAAAAGAAGTTATGCCTGGACAAGACGATGTTCTTCAAGGTTCCATCACAACACTTAAATATGTATTATCCAGTCTTCAGAACAAGATAGACTTTCCCATTGAATAAACTTGCTATAAGCCCATTGCCTAAATCCTCAGCAAAGTATGACTCTTAGTTTTACACCCTGCTATTAATATCAAAGATTTGGTCTGTCAGTTTTGACCTCTAAGAAAGAGAGGATGTAGGAGGACATTCTGGGAAAATAGTGAACCTTTAAATCTATTGTCCTGTAAAGAGAAAGCTATAAAACCCAAGGGTTGGGTGCCACGCCTGGACTGATGAACAGCCAGCATAACCAATACATCAGTAGCTGCTGTGATCAGCTGTTTAGAAAAAGCATGTTTTCTTCCTCTTTAGAGTAGAGACCCCCCTCCCCTTTCTCATGCTAGTTTTATCTTCTTGTCCTGCTTTTGGAGAATTTCTAGAAATGGTTTAACCCAATAGAAGCTGTTCCTCTGTATTTGCAAGATATGGCACAAACACACAATCAAAGGGGAGGGAAAGCTTTCCATAAGATGGTTGCTATGTTTTCTCCTTTGGCCTGAAATTGATTTTGTCCTTCTTCCAATTTAGGCTCATTCCACCTTTGAATCAGCTTGAGCTGCTGAGAAACCTGAAGAGCAAATCTGGATTAACCTTCAGGTCAGTAATTGTCAAGATTGACTTCTGAAAAAATAGGGTTAGCACATGAAGGAGATTGTTCTGGTTCTGTGTTAGAGTTCTAGAAAGCAGAGTTGTAAAACCCAGAGAAGAGAAATAGCAGAGATTACCTTGGAGAAGGAATGTGGAGACCATTAGAAAAAACATGAGTTAAGTCTGGGATGGGAAGATGTTAGAAAGAAATTTAGCGACCCCATTTTGACTCTCTTTGGTATAAGAAGAAAGGAAAGGAAAACACTGTGAGGCTTTCACGATTGATGTTAGTCCTTTGAGGTAGGCCAGGTCAAGAAACAGACCCCACAAGAAATACTGGAACTCTACTTTATGAAAATAGGTTATAATAACAGACCCTTGAAAGCCTGACAGCATTTCCCCTTCTCTCCCTTTTATACCAAAGACAGTCAAGGGAGTGCAATTTTAAATTTCTCTTTCATTCTTTTTTGTTTCTCTCAACTTAATTCATGTTTTGCTACCAGTTTTTGCATTCCTTTCCAAGGTCATCTCTGGTTCTTTACAGATATGCAGGTTTAGCCATCTTTCACAACTTGTTCCTACTTACCTTGTATAAACTAGTGGGTTTAAATAGCTACTATAAATGCACATACAGGTAGTCCTCAACTTATGACCATTTGTTTAATGACTGTTCAAAGTTATGACAGTGCTGAAAAAAGTGACTTACGATTGATCCTCACACTTACAACTGTCGCAGTGTCCCCATAGTCACATGATCAAAATTTGGGCGCTTGGAAACTGGCATGTATTTACAACGGTTGCAGTGTCCTGGGGTCATGTGATCACCATTTGTGACCTTCCTGGGGGGCTTCTGACAAGCAGTCAATGAGGGAAGCTGGATTTGCTTAATGACTGTGATTTGCTTAACAACCTTGGCAAAAAAGGTCGTAAGATCAGGTGCAACTCACTTAACAACCACATCACTTAACGATGGAAGTTTGGTCCCAATTGTAGTTGTAAGTCGAGGACTACCTGTACTCTTCCTAGGGGAATATGGTTTAGTCATTTAAACTCACTCTCCTTTTGCTTGTGCAGACAAAACAGAGCTTGGAATTTAGGCTTAAAACTCTGTCAAAACTCGCTGTTCTTTGCTGTGCAGATTGAGCAGCCAAAGGATGAGTGAGCTTGGAAGGAATTCTAAAAGCTATGTTCCCCTGCTGATTGTAACCTTTGTCTCAGTTTAACTGTTTGAAAATATGTGATGGCTGTGAAAAGAGGAAATGAAGATAAGAACCAGAATGATGGAGATTATTTTTTTTGAACAGAAACATTTTTAAATTATTTTTTAAAATTGTGTTTTATACATACACAGTTAACAAGATGATCTTTAAAGAAAAAGAAAATTTTTAAAAATTAAATATATGAACTAAGAAAGAGAAAAAAGAGAAAAATCTACCTTATATTTTTCACTTGTCAACAGTCACTGGGTTACTAATGAATTCGCTACTATAATATGGACAATACAAAATATGATTCTAATAACAAATCTTGCTGCATCCTTTGATTAGTAGAAAATACTGCCTTTTCCAAAACAGATAAATCACACATTCCTTGGGATCTGGAACGATATAACATGGCACCTGGAAAAATATTACTTCCCCAATTTCTCAGTATAATTCTTTTAGCCACCCCCACCCCCAGCCATAATTCTTGATAAACAGTCAAGTTCCAAAGCTTTGCTATAGAGTTCACCATTATGTTGACATTTAAAGATTTTCCCATAAACCTGCTTATGTCGATGAATACAATATCCCCAAAAGATGCGAAACGATCACAGGACCGTATCCTGCAGGTCAGCGAGCCGGCCAGTGTTTTACACCTCCAGCCTAGGAAATGGAAGTCCATCCTTTCAAATACAGTCTTTGCATTTAGCTTTCTTTGGGTCTTGTTTTCTGGGGTTATCTTTGCACAGGCCCATTTCTGTTTCGTCACTCAGTTTTGTTTGGAGCTGCTTCTTCGTTTCTTTTTTTGTTTTCCCGCTGCAAACGTGGCTCTGTCGCTAACATACTTCTGCTTCTGTTTAAGGAAAGAACAGCAGCCAGAATCATCTCCAAGGTCTGTATGTTCCTCCTTCACGCCTTCCCACCTCACTCTCGTTCTCTTTGCGTCTGTGTTCCTGTTCTGTCATGCGCGTGATGCATCATGGCATGACAAGGACCTGAGAGCCATTCAAATAGCCATTATAAATGTCCAACCTGCTCGCATCCTGTGCTGTGAGATCCTGTCCGCATGCCTTGTATTGACAACCCATAGTAGTGGCCCTTTGATCCCGTTTTCCCATCTTTCCAGCGACAATACAGCTTTTAGCAGGTGGGAGTCTTAGACCAGGCACCGCCGCAGCCTCCAAACCAACGTTGAGATCTGGCATTGCGCTGTCAAAAATGGAACAGAAAAAGGATAATGCGTGTCCTATAGGAGAGCTGGCGTAACGAGACTGGAAAAGGTCTAAATTCCCTAAATTGAGGACTGAAACCAGGCTTCCCAAGTTGTTGTACTCCAGGTGGATGGGACTGAGTTCCCATCATTCTTCAGGTCGTAATCATGGTGGCTGTAGAATGATGGGAGTTGTAATCCAGCTCACCGGGAGAACACCAGGCTGGGAAAGGCGATCCCAAAGTGACCATTTTGGATATTCCTCTCTTCCCTCACCTGTATTTCAGCCTTTCTTTTGGCCCCGACAGCAGTGAAAGAAAGGACATTCATGTACCCACCAACATTTGTCACACATCCCTGTTTTTGAGCAAAGAAATCTTCACTGAAAGGCACAGGATCTCTCTCTGGCTGCATCAATTCCTTGCAGACTTCATTCAAAGCATACAGTTCCCTGACAATTTAAGAACTCACACTTCCACATTGGATGATGGTTTGCAGAGGGCTGAAGATCAGGCAGGAAGGACTGCTGTGTTTAGTTCAAACCAAGGCCTGGGTGCCCACTGGGTGCAGCTTTGCTGATAGAACTGATGCTAGTGAATGCTTTCATGTGAAGCCGTGATAGCATGTGGTGGAAGCATTTCATTTCAATGTGGGCTGAACAAAATGGCTGCCATTGTGTCTCTAGCAAGGAGCCAATCTGGGCATTCACTTGTGCAGTGGGTGGAATGAAGTGTCAGTTGTGCAGCACGGTGTTTTTCAAACTTGGCAACTTTAAGATGTGTGGACTTCAACTCCCAGAATTCCCCAACTGGCTAAGTAAATTGTCATCTCCCCCACCAGCTATTTTGTGATTGATTCAGTTCTTCCTCCCCACCCATTTTGCCCACAATACATTCTTCAGACAATGTTAGGGACTTCTATGCTAATTAATGGTGAGCAATATCTAGAGTTTAGGGATGAGAGGGGAAAAACAAAGGTGGGTTAGAGATAAGGAGAAGGAGGGGGAAAAGATTAGAAAAAATTGGATAAATCAATACTGTAGATAGGTAGGTAGACAGAGAGACAGACAAGGGGAAGGAAGGAAGTGAAAAAGAGAAAGGTTGGCCCGTGACTTAGCTCAACTTTCTTAGGATCTGACCCTTTACAAAAGATTTTTGCCAAGGGTATCCCTGGAGCCCTTGATTTTTTAAAAAAATTGTTCCATATCCTGTTCTAAAGCTTATAGTTTGTCTGAAATGCCTTCTCTCACCGGTTTTCTTGATTGGTGAGGCTGAGAAAGGTGACTAGCACAAGATGACGTAGAGAGCTTCATGGTAGGGTGAGGATGTGAACCTGGGTGCCCTTTAACACTTTAACCACTATACCTTGCTGCCTTTCTTGGAAAAATATACCTGCTTCTAATGGCCTTTCCTATACTGGCAACCATTGCTGTGCCAATGAGGGCTGGTGCAAATGTGGACTTCCTTCACCATATTTTGTAACTCTTCAAAGGAACCTTTTTTTTTAGTTTCCTGTTGGCTACTATCAGTTGTCATTGTTTTAAAATCATATGTAGTATCTTTCCTTATTTCCTACAAGGAATCCAGACAGACAGCCCTCCTTGTGTCCTATTAGGACAAGGGTGGGAGCATTCAACCAGAGATGTTGACATCAGAAACATTCCTGTCCAGAATTTAAAGTATGAGTGCAGTTGAGAAAAGAACAGCCTCATAATTTTATTTTGGACACCATCTCAGTGACTTTAGAAGGCATTGAGCCAATTAGCAGGCCACATTCATACCTCCAAAGGTTGTGAGCTAAAGTCAAGATCTAAGTGGTGTATAGGATTCAACGTAGCTACAATAACGGGACAGATCAGGATGAACTCTCAGTTACAGTAATTGAATCATGAGCGGTTTAAATCCTACCAATTAAATTAAAACCAATTAAATCCTACCAATTAGGGTTCATTGATTCTGCTTAAATGTGGATGCCTTTGCCTGTGAAAAAGCAAGCTCTAGCCATGTGGTTGCCTAGCATCTTATCCTTACCAATTATGAAAATTATGTGCAGAAGCTCCTTGCTCTGTGATTACTGACATGTTTCTGCCCAGGTGATTTTTGTTTCGTGGTGTGTTTGGAGAGGGATTGGTGTGTTAAAAAGCAGGATAGAACCTCTTTGCAAACTTTTTCCAGCTGGTGCCCTCTAATGACTTCAGTTTTTATAATTCAAGATCTTTTTCCCCAATAAATCTCAAAGGCTTCAGGTTGGAGAAGGCCTTTCAGATTTTCTTGGAGCCATGCCAACTTGGCTACTAGTCAGGACTGATAGGGTTGTAGATCAAGAACATTTAGTTGGCCTGGACGACTCAATTAACCATTGAACATTTGCTCCTCCCCCCCCCCACAAATGTAGTAGCAGATTATCTATCCTGATAATCAGTGATGATCACCTTACATCATTGAAGAAGGTCCATTCTCCACCAAGACTAGCCAAGAACAGGCCAACAGACAGTTAAAACACTTCTTACTAACTCATACAGTTTTCTCCAGTCAGGAGACAGAGTGATCAGAGCAATCAAGAAATAAGTGTGGTTGGTGCCTCCCTATCCCCTGGTAAAATTGAAACCTCATCAAAGAGCCTGACTAGCAGGTAATGTGGTGAAGGGAAAGCACCAGCCTCCTTATCTGGAGGTTGAGTCATGGCAACTGGACTTGTGTTCTTTTGGTATGATACATTTTGCTACTTGTCCAAGCAGCTTCTTCAGTCTGAAGAAGCTTCCTAGACTGAAGAAGCTGCTTGGACAAGCAGTGAAATGTATCAAACCAGAAGAAAAGAAGTCCAGTTCCATGACTCAACCTCCAGATAATTCCACGTGGATGGCTGAGAATCTTCATCAACATACCACCAGCCTCCTTGTGAATAAGCCACAGCAGCAGGGTAATAGTCTCTTCAGACTCAGGCCCTGCTGAGTATAAAGGCTACTCTGATGAAGGAGCAGATGTGAGAGTTGGAGAAGAAGGTTGAGGGAAACTAGATCTTAAAAGGACAACTATGAGAAATCTATAGATAAAGAATTTGCTCGATTACCCTTATTAGACCTGTACAGAGAAACTCCCTTGCCCTTTTATGTTATCTGGCTTTGATCCAGTTGATTGCCCAGGCAGACCTGGTTCCTCCAACTAGTAAGTCTTACTCAGGAGGGAAGAAAGGGAGCTAGAGGCTACATAAGTAAGGAGTAAGAGGCTACACAAATAAGTAAGGAGTTGCTTATACACCACAGCTGAAGGAAGGCTTGTTTTGACTATTGTTGGGAGAGCAGGGTCCAAACTGCTATTCTAGAAGAATGAACCTTCTTGGTTAGGCATTTTTTAAAACATGACTTGGAGTTCTTGGCTTGGACTGCTGAGGCTCCAAAGAGTCTGTTTTTGTTTCCAACCCTGTCCCTGAATACTCAAGGGACTGGGGAGAATAAACTTCGGCAGGTTCTCTAGACCAGTATTTCTCAACCTCAGGAACTTTAAGACGTCTTAAAATTCCTAAGGTTGAGAAACACTGGTCTAGATCTTTGGAGAGTCCAGTGTTTGCTTTCTGTTACTTGCTAGTCAACTTCCCACCTCTTTGCTTACAAGAGTCACTGCCATGCATAGTTCCATTTCCTGCTGAAAAGTGGACAGTGTTTTGTTTTCTCTAGTCTTTCAGTCATGCATACAAGTATCTGGGCATCTCCTATCCAGCACTTAGACAAGCGAATGGCTAAAATGTACACAGAATTTTAATAGGTGTGTGGGGGATCATTTTTTAGTTCTAGGCATGTGATGTTTTGGTCTACTTTCTGGAGTCTTCTGTTCAGAAAGTGAGAAAGAGAAGCAACAGATGAACCGAAGACCAGTTGATGGTGAAGCTCCAGTCCACAAAAGCAGTCCTCAAATACTCCTTTGGCTGAAATGATTTTATTTTATTTTGGTTTTTGTTTGTGGTAGTTGAACATTTTAAAAACTCATACTGACCAATCAAATTAGATATCCTGACCCATTGGTCTGATGTGCTATGAGATAAGCTAGTACCATAAATTATTTTATTAAATGTTGATGTCATATACAGAGAAGAGGGTTGATTCCATTTGAAGTTCCAACAGATGTTGCAAAGCAAGAATAATATTTTCAGGTCTATTCAGATATTAAAATAAAGTCTTTGGGCTGCTGAGTTCAAATTATGCCTCTTGCAAGCCAGGAAATGTGACTGAGAGGTTCTTATAGCAGTAAGTGGCTCTAGATTTATGCCTTCTGGAGTCTATTAGAACAGGACACCTGAAATAATGTGATGGTCTTTGGACCAAACCAGATGCTACATAAGAAACATGGAGTTATCTCTTTATCCTGTGGGTGAAGCATCTCATAGAGCTTCTTCCAATTGGTGTTTCCCAAATGTGGATTCAGCTCCCAGAATTCAACTCTTGTTGGCCATGTTGGCTAAGATCCAATATATGCGGAGGGCATCAGGTTGGAAAGGGTTGATTTAATACAAATAATAAGTGAAGAGTCTTCATGATGCTTTGTGCTTCTCTGATTCCTTCTATATTAAAAAAAATCCCTAATATGAATTTATTTTAGCTAAGTTATTAATTTGGTAATTACTAGGTATATTGAGCTTTTGGGGGTACATCATCCAACTTCTCTGGGAGATCTATTTGCAGAGTCATGGAGGTGCTTTAACCTGACTTGTCTTCAGAGGCAAAGTCTTTCTTTTTAAAACGAAAGCAGAGATCATTTAACAAAGAATTGCAAAACTAGGTTACTACTGATATGCTAATGTATTTCCATATTATGGCTCAAAATAACAACCTCTTATAGGCCTCTGTGAATTAAATGTCGAGACATATGGGCTTTTCTTTTGAAAAAACTGAGCTGCTTCTGCATGTTTTCCAATCTAATCTAATCTAATCTAATCTAGCTATTTCATATTTGGATCAAAAGTCATGAATGGAAGTTACGATCAAGGATTAGCTTTACTCAGGGTTTTGTGGAGGTTGGTAGAAGATTAGCTTCTTTTACAAAATACCCATCTTTCAAAGATTTTTACTAATGTGTCTCTTTTGAAGCATGTTCATGAATTAAAATCAAATTGGAAAACTTTGCAAGGCTGACCTATTTTTGCTCTGTTTCTTATCGTTCTTGCTTCTAAATTTTCTAATTCCTGCCAGAAATCAGATATCTAAGAAACACATGATGAATGTATAGCTTTCATGAGCACCCTAACACTGCTTTTTATCTCTGTTTTGTTGATTGAAATACTATGGGGTGTCAAAGAAAGATGCTATTTCTTCTCTCTCTCTCAATATAGCATTCAGTTTCTGAACAGAAGTCTACCATGAGTCTCATCTGGCCTTATAGAACCCATCTATGATTGCATGTTATTTTATTCACTAATTTTATTTGCCAGATTGAAGTTATTTAATTTTTGATTTATACCCTGTCTTGCCTCCAGGAGCTCAGACAGCATACAACTCTTACCTCCAGTTTTTCCACATGAGAACCTATAGGGTAGCCTAGGTTGTGAGAAACCGAGTGCCCCAAAGTCACTGAGTGAGCTATCATGGTTGAGGGTGGACTTAACCTTGGTCTTCCAAGTCATGACCTTAACCAGTACACCACACCTGCTGTGCTGCTTTTGTGAGAGTCTATCAACCAAGGATGTGGAGAGAAGGAGGAGGAGGGAGAGATCGAAAGTGTGATGACATCACCCCACGTTATTCATTTAAAACAAATCACTCTCAACTTGATGCCCACCATGCTGGCTGAAGATAGGAATTATAGGCCAACGTATCTGAGAATGTTAGGTTGGGGGGATGTGCTGTAAGATCTTGACAGAAATAGAGTGCAAAGGGAATCAGAATGATAATAAGTGTAGGTTTTATATAATATCTTATTTTCCCTCTGTAATCAAAATACAGTTATTGTATTTTGAATCCAAATCTTTTGAATTGAATTGCCTGCACACACTTTATTTTGCAAAATGCTGAATGCTTTCATACTTTTAAATTTCTGATGGTAGACAAAATGCTGTATTTTCAGACACAACCAACGGGGATAATTTAATGAGGAATGAAGAAAAATTAAAATGTCAAACTTAAGATGGAAGGTGGATTATCCGATTATACACTGAATTTGGGTGGAACTACCCCCTTTCTTTAAAAGTTTCCTTGGGTCACTGAGTGAGTAGTATTTTGGGGGAAGAACTAGAACATTGCCAGTAATTAATATTTGGGTGGAGGAAACTTTTGCCATTCAAAAGAATAGAAAATGCAAATTGATTGAGATGGGAACTTCTCCCCCAACACTGAGTTGAAAATTGAAATGTATCCGTTTCCTATGGAAAATTCCAGCAGCAATCAATACTTGGGAGAAAAAAAAAATTACAAATATGACTTTCAAATTCAATTTGGAGGGAAACAGGAAACATTTTCAAGGGGTCAATCATGTCCCATTAGAGATCTGGACTGAGAAAAATATTCTCCTTTCTAATGTAGAAGGGCTGAATGTCTACCTTGGGGTTAGGTAGAGCCTTTCCACACACACACCCCAGATGCTGATCGTTAGCAAATGTGGCCTTCCCGGTGACGTTCTACACAGGATCTGGTTGGGTAGGAGCCATCTGGTCTAATTTTTCTACTCTCCCCTCATTTCTAGTAAAACCACTCCGTGCAGAAAATCATTTTGTGGATGCTGCTCGAGAACCTCTAGGTACCACGGCAATTGCTTTGCACTGAATTAATCCAAAGCTGCACGGCTCATTCTCTCTCTCTCTCTCTCTTTTTCTTTCCCCGCTACCTTCTGTTCTGCCCATTCATCTGCTTAATAGAGGTGCTCCGTGAGCTATTGCGAGCGAAAGACGTTGGCAGCATCTTTCTCTTCCCAGCAAGACCAAGTGCAGGATCTGCTGAGAGGGGGTGATTTGCTTGGGGTAATGTAGCTTAGCAGGATGATTTCCAGGCACGCCAAAGAACACGAGAAAAGAAAAAGACTAAGTGTGCAAGGACAACCGATATTAGTCTGCAAAGCAAAAATACTGCAATCTAAGCTCCCATTGAATACTAACCTTACACAGTGAAAGTTTGTCCATTTACGCTGTTGCAAGTCCACTAGACAACTGTTGTTTTAGAAGCTATTCAATAGCCATGAATGGAGTTTTTTTTTTTTCCCACGGATCTAGTTGCAGGGCTTTTGAAAACCTACCCAGCTCTTCTAGGACTTCTACTAAGCAGGAACAGACAAATTATTATGAACTTTTTAGCTGCAGGCCCCCTTTAGTGGATGTGTGCATAACTCCAGTTACTGCAAACAAGGGTTTGGATTCTGATGACAGATCATGTGGTGTTGGTTATCCAGTTGACTCTAGGAGAGTTAAATCAGCTTGCTTGACCTGGCATGATTTCTAAGGACAGGAGAGCTCCATTCATTTAACGAGGTCCAAAAAAGATCGTGACAAAGCTCCCTCTGTTCCATGAAAGTCAGACTCTTAGGTAGCTTGTGCACACCACACCTCACAGAAATTCTCTGCATGTTTTGTTTTCATTTTTTCAGTTAAGTGTGGACTTGCTGATGCAAGGCCCAGTGAGATAGTCACAGAATGCTTGCTTGCTTGATGCATGTCCATTTGAGGATCCATCTTGGCTCCTGAAGGCATCCAGGTTTAGTTGAAAATGACAGAAGCTCTCACTCTCTTGAATATCTCAACATACCTTTTGTTTTTCATTTTTTATGTTACAGCAAGAAGGGCCAAGTTACAAAGACCAGATGGTGATCATGCTAGTCATAAATCCTGTTCTTATGTCAATAGAAAGAAAGCATGATCAAAGCTTCAATTTATTATTGGCTTAGCGGGATGAAGGTGTTGTAGAACCGTTGAATTTCAGTTCCCATATTATTTGTTTGTGTGTGTCTGTCAGGCTTATGAATATCCTTCTGCTTAGCATTCTGTTCTCTTGGTTCGACACAACAGCCAAACCCTGTTTCCTACAAAAGGCATTCATTTCCAAGATGGTTAGCTGTGGGCTTCACCATCTTTGTTATTCTGAAACACAAGTGGCATTCCCCTTAAATTCACTGAGATATTTTTAAATAAGGGGCAGTAAAATAGCCTCTCCTCAACACCCTCTGATGTATTCCTCCACTTTTTCAAAGCTAAATTGAAGGTGATTCTCTAATATCTTAAAAAGGATAAGAAGCGTGGAAAGATTTTCCAGGATGGCCTTATCTTCCTTCATCTTGGCCAGAGCTAGTGATATGCCAAGATTACCCAGGTTCACTCATTATACTAAATCCTAAAGCACTTTCTTGGGTGAAGCTTAGTATATTATGTGAACTCGGGCACTGTGATCTGTAAACTGTGTTGTGACTTGTTTTGTTGTCATCATTTCTAAAAATAAACTGGCCCGTGACATTTTTAATTGTTTAATATGCCCCATTACTGAAATAGTTCCACCTCCCTTTAGGCTATCTGAGGTCCTTCCTTCAGAGCTTTTGTCTCCGATCCATTCAGAATTTAACTTAAAAAGTTCCAAATCAAGATGACTGTCCTTTGATAAAACACATTTTTACCATTCCTTTTGAGATGCCAGCAGTTCCTCATCTAGATAATTCAGACCAGGATCCTCCAAACCAAAATCTCTTGTGTCTACACCATCTGTGTAGCCAGCTGTAATCTTTTTTCCCCTCTCTGATCTTCTGCGGACTGGAAGAATAGATGAGAATATCACCTGAGCACCCAAGGTTTTGACCTATTTTCCTTCCAAGATCTTCAGATTCCATGTTGATACAGTTGTAGCTGTTCCTTTCAGTATCATTTGTCCCCCATGATACTGGAGGCATAAAGGGGTATATGGATAATATCTCTTCTCTTTCAATTAGGGCTTTGATATTAGCTATGGGGAAGTTGGAGACATGGGCAAAGTAGGAGAGAACACAGTATTATCTCTGTGGATCAAGTGATGTTGATGAATTTACTTGCCACCAGGCAATCGACACACACAATTATGGTCACAACTGCAGGAAATACAGTTGGCTGCTATTACAAGTGTAGTGGTATGTAGGAGTAGCACACAATCGAAATAGCTCTCTTTGGGCCCATCACTAGAACTGAAGGTGGCCAAGCAAATCAGCTTCGCTTGAGCTAGGTTTACAATCAGCAAGATGACAAGGATGGTCATAACATGATGATGTGGGCAAACATGCCCCTTCAGTTAGGGGGGTGGTGATTGTAGCACAGTGATAGTTATGCTCAGTGGAAAGGCAGGTATGGTATGGATGCAACCCTTTGGGGCTTCAGCTCTGGAAGTGGTGTCCAGACAGATGATAGACCATCCTTCAACTAGTAGGCTTCTGCTCTTAATTAGTGGCATTTTGTTGCTGGATTTTTTACCACGAAAATAAGAGTCCTTGGGAGAAAAAACACTGTACATTTGGTACTGAACCCAGAAAAATAATGAAAGTGATAGGTGCCCGATCTTAACATACCTTCCTGTCTTTAGGGAGGCACGTCCAAAATGTATGATTCAAACCAGCTATCAAAACTAGCTTCTTTATTGCATGGTATAGTCTTTCCTTGTAATCCATAGCTTCAGTTAATTCATAATGTGAAATAGCCACATGGGGTTCTCATATGCTCTCCTGTTTTGGCAACCAAAGATGAGTGTGTGAGTAAGGCATTGCATAGGAAATGACCGTTTCCTACTTCAGGATAATTAGAAATCATATCTTCTGGAGCATAGAGGCATAAACCTAATACCAGAAGCCACAAAACAATATATAGGAAGATGGCACTTTTGCCTAGGTTGCCAGTACACTAGAAAGGGTGCTGCAAAACTTCCTATGGTATCACTTATGCCAGTGTTTCTCAACCTTTGCCACCTGAAAGTGTTCGGGGCCCCAAACCCCCAAGGTCCCCACACGCCCCCCGGCGGTCCCGCGGCTGGTCGCGGGGCGCGGGCCCCAGCGCTACA